AGCAAGCAAGCTAGTGTTCCATGAAGCTGTTTCATATAACCTCTCTGCAGAAATGAACAGGAACAGGTGTTTTAAGCAAACGTATAATTCATGATTATCTCAATTTACATAAAGGGTATGTTGAAAGGTGATTTTTCCACTTTACAAAAAGATCCATCATGAGAGTCTCTAAACAGGCTTCCCGGGTATATGGAAACTACAGTTTTATTGATTAAAACCATATGTTTGCATAGAATTCTTCAGGAAAATATCTTTTCTGTAAAGCAAGGTCGACCCATGAGCAATTTCCTTAAGGCACGTAGCCCAGAATGGCCAGCTCTCACATTTCCGGGGTAACAGATAATGGGAGGCCTGGAATGCAGTGGATACTTGAAACCCTAGAATGCAAAGCAGTCATTTCAGCCATTTAAGGTCTCAGTGACTTTTCTCACAAAAATGGCTAATGGGGAGATGAATCAATGTATTTGAATCTCCCCAACTCCTCTCTCTGTATATCAGTGAAAGTACGAATGGTTGTGAAATGCTCCCCAAAGTGGCTACTATGAAAGGAAAACAAGGGCTTGTAAAATTCACTGAATTGATGCCTTTCTCCCAACTCCCCCCACCACCACGACCACCACTGATAATTAAGTTGTCTGATTGCAAAACTGGCAAAAAATTCAGTGTGTTAATCAGTAAAAGGCAGTTAACTTCACTGAGCCTGAATTTCCTCATCTTAACAACATGGGAGCCCTTTTGAGGATTATTGTCTTAAAATTCTGTTCTTGAACCTACCCAAACTTTATAAAATGAAAGTGATTGGTGACAGTTCTCTCTGTCTAATGAAATAAATTCCACAGCTACTTCTGTCTTCCTTACTGGAAACTCGAATAAACGATCATGAACTTTAAATCAAAACGTTTATAATACTTGTGGAATTGGTTGATTTGCCTACTATGGATGGTTCTTGCTTACAAAAAAGCGCTTTGCAGAATTTGCTTACAACTAACCTCTTCCCTGTCGCACATAGCATACTCGGTCGCAAGCGCAGGAAGCTCCTCTTGGACTGCAGCACAACTGAAATATTTTAGCTGCAGGAAGGAAAAACAACGTGCTGGTCATGGTAATAAAGCAAGGTTGACTAGGGTACAGGTTAGTTTTACCCTTCAAAACTAAGCGTACTTTCATCTCAGAAAATCTAATACCTCCAAAATTTAGAAGAAAATATTTGGGACACAGGAAAAACAAGCCTCAAGTCTGTAGCGATCTTGGCAACACTTTTGCCTTCATCAACTTCCTGAGGTATTATTTTACCCTCACTTTCCACAATTTTGATTTTTTTTTTGTTTCTTTTGCTTCAGTACTGCTATATTTGGTGACATTTTGAGAGAGAATTATTTTTCTAAGTGATGTACTAAAGTATTAACTTCTCACATAAAGGAGTTTAGAGTAATAATGTTCATCCCTAAGACTCTTCTGCATGAGTCTGAAAAGACAAAGAATTTATTTACTGAAATATATTATTTAGATGTCTTCTGCTTTGTAGGTTAAAGAGAAATCTTGAATATATTAACACATCTGAATTATTTCAAAGTTAATGTATTTTATCTGTATTTTTTCTCTCTTCCTAATTGACTTCTCTAAATGATATTATGTCATTTCCTCAGTGAGAAAGAGGAATAGATTCAGAAAGGGAGGCAAAAAAGAAAAAGAGACCTCTCCTCAAAGGCCCCCCCCAAAAAAAGGCTGGGGATGGTGGAGTTGGTCCCATCATTGAGATGATGATGAGTGATCAACCAAGATCCTCAGCCTAGACTGGATACAGAGAAAGAATTGCAGTAGGAGCGAGGACAGATGGAGAGTTGGCAAGGAGGAGAGAGGAAATTCATGAGAGAGAATTTGCTGATTGAAATGTTAATTGAAAATATTAGAGAAGTCAAGGCTGGGAGAGGCTCCTGAAGAAAGCAGGATACAGCCTGTACTCGGAGAGAACCAAGACTATAGATGTCATAGTCATATCTTCCATGTGTTTGATACTCAGAGCTTCCATTTAACCAACAGCCTCTGCTTTGGATTGAAACACAATGCAGAAGGAGACAAATATTTGCCCACTTGTATGAAATTCTGAAGAAGATGGAAGTTCCTTACAGGTTTATAATTCAGGTCCTCATGTGAGGAGATTCTGACTCCCTGTGTATGTGTTGAGAGGCTGGGGGATGGAAGTGGGGGAAGGAGGGCAGTCAACCGAGCATGTGTAATTTGAAAAATGTCCTCAGGTTGGATGCATGGGTGCATAGATACATACATAGATACACAGATAGGTTGAGTAAGCTAAAGATAGAGATGCACACATATACAGAGTTAAAATTTGTAGCTATTTAATAAGAAGCAAGAGACACATAGGATTTCCGTAGATTTAAGAAGAGTCTTTGACTAAAGAACATGCATAACTGAATAGCTTTTTTCCTGGTTATCAGCAGAGCATCAAGTCATTTTCTTTTTAATTTGTGTTCATACCAAGACTATGGAAGACTGCTTCCAAAAAAATATCTATTGGGAAAAATGCCTATCATTTAAGAATATGTCCTAGTAGTAATTAATCACAGCTTTTTTTTCCCATTTCAAATGTGCAATTTAATTTTCCCAAAAGTGCTAAGGAAACACAGTATTCTTTTAAAGTATCATAATTGGAGGAAACCCTAGTGTACTGTTGTTTGGAATGCAAATTGGTACAGCCCCTATAGAAAACACTATGAAGGTTCCTCAGAAATTTTAAACTAGAACTACCTGGTAATCCAACAATCCCATTTCTAGATATATAGCCAAAGGAGTTGAAATCAGTATCTCACAGAGATATCTGTACTCCTAAGTTCACTGCAGCACTATTCATGATAGCCAAAATATGGAAACAACTTAAGTGTCCATCAACAGATGAAGGGATAAAGAAGATGTGGTATATATATACAATGGAACATTATTCAGCCATAGGAAAAAAGGAAATCCTAACCATTTGTGACAACTTGGATGAATCTTGAGGGCATTCTGCTAAGTGAAATAAGTCAGACAGAGAAAGGCAAATAATTGTATGATGTCACTTATATGTGGAATCTGAAAAAGACAAACTCAGAGAAACAAGTAGAGTGGTGGTTACCAGGGGTTCGGAGATGGAGAAATGGGGAAATGTTGGTCAAAGGGAACAAACTTCCAGGTAAAAGAGGGACAAATTTGGGAATCTAACGTACAGCACGGTGATGGTGATTCTAGCAAATAATACTCCATCATATAGTTGAATGCTGCTAAAAGAGTAGATCTTAAATGTTCTCGTCATGAAAAAGAAATGGTAACTACGTGACAGGATGGAGGTGGTAGCTAGTGATGATGGTAACTCCTTTTTAACCTATAAATGTACACATTCAACACATTGTATACCTTAAACTTACACAGTGTTATATGTCAATTACAGCTCAATAAAGTATCATAATTGCTGCTGTGCCCAATTAACTGCAAATATCCTGAGCACCAAGGAGTGCTCAGAGCACACTGACCCTGGACTGATTTAAGAAGCCTGAGGCTACAGGAGAGAGTGAATGTGGCCTGAAAAAAAAGTGCAGTGTAGGAGGTGACCCAAGTTCTAATCCCAGTCCTGCCCTGAACTTGTTGGGTGGTCCTGGTCAAGGCTCAAGTCCTCTCAGAGCTTTTGGCTCTTCTTTTGTAAGATGGGAATATTTAAAGTTCCTTGAAGCACCATCACTGTATGATCCCTTGAGTTTAATCTTCAATGTCAGTGCCACCTGGAGCTCTGGGGGGCCTGATGAGGAGGTCGGTCCATTTTTAGCTGTATATTAATGACAGCCTTGCAATTCTTTAATCCCTACCGAATGATGGTTTGAAATTTTTAATCTTTAATCACGATTTTGTATAGACTGCACAGTCAACAGCCAAAGAGAATGAAGGAAAGAGGGCAGAGAGGAAAAGGAGGGGACTTGAGTAACTATTATTTTTCTGCATTCAGTATCTTATTTTACTTCTATACTATGCAAAATAATCTTACCTTGCTTAGAATAAAGCATTATGATTTAATGAGGTCATCTCGTAAGTACCTTCCGTTAACTGTGAAAACAGCATGATTATCGTTCACAGTCATCTTCTCCATGTTTCCCTAGATTTGGAAAGAAGAAAGATGACAAGGGTGGAAAGGCTGAGCAGAAAGGTCCTCTGAAGCATGGTGGCCTGAGAGAAGAGGAACTGGAAAAAATGAAAGAAGAACGCGAGAGGTGAGTAGAAATGCTGAGCCCTTTCTTTGATTTTCATGCATGGTCTGTGTTTAATTTTCTTATAGTGTCAGTCACCTGGAGAAATCTTATTTTAAGAAGCATAAAGATTGACTGATACAAAAGGAGAGACACCTGATATAAATGGAATCTGCCTTTCTGGGGAATTTTTACTATATTTTGAGAAGAAATTAACTTCATGTTTTTATTTTACTGATACTTATGATTCCATAATATGCTACCCCCAGTTTTGACTGTATGGATGCATATGCTTCCTATGGTTTAAATGAGGAGTTCTTTTTTTTTAATAAAAAGGTCATTTGGATATTGATGTTTAGAATGATCAAATTTCCATAGTCTGTTCCTAATTTTTGTCAAGCTGTTGTATGCCTTCTTAATTTTATTCTGCTAAGCCCATTTGAGTACTGTAATCTGAGAAGAGCATGCCCTTCATTTTTAAAAAGCCAGTGTCTTTTATTAGGCCATCAGCAAGTTGCGAAGTATGTTGTCCATCTGTTAAAGAGCCGGTTTCATTTACTGAAATGACAGTTTGCAAGGACTAAAGTCTCCTGTTTGAGGAGCTTAATGTTCCATTTGGACAAGAGGTCCTTCACATTATCTTTGATGTTAACTCTGGCACTTACCCCAAGTAGGTGCATAAATGATTTTGAAATATGTAATTGCATATTCATATTTGTCCTGAAAACTCTTTGCCTTCACAACTAAATGAAGCTTGGAGAAAGACTAAGATTATTATATGATTTTAAGTATGTGATGCTGACTTGATCATGGATGAGGTCAGATTTGTCCAACTTTTCCCTTACTCATTAGTAATAATAGTTCTTGGAGTTTTTAAAAAGTCAGTTCTTGTTCTTATTTTAATACTCTAGCATGAGTACTCAGAAAATCATACTTATTCATTGTTTTTTCAGGCGTAAAGCAGGCTGAGTGTCTACCGTTAACCTTTGACCCTATCTTGTAGTCTATTCCCACTGAGAAGGCTGGCTTTAGCAAGAAAAAAAAAAACTATTTAGTCCTTTCTCATTTTTGAGAGTTTGACAAGCTCAATTCCAGGGTCAGTAGAGCAGTTAAGAGGAAACCGAGTGCTTTCCATTGTTGTTGACTATTCACCTGTCAGAACTGCCTTGAAGAGAAGAAAGATGAATTCTCCATCATAGCTCAAGATGCAGTAATCTTGTAACATAAAATGTTGTTCAGGCTAAGATTTTAATGCATATATTGGCAAAGACATCCATGTGGTGAGTCCGCATAGTAGATCTTTGCTGCTCCCCTGACTTCACTTTCTGAGGCACCATGTCTTGCCTCATCTTCAGGAAACTGAGCTGTTTGCTAGAATGTGGACTTCACATTTTTTGCACCTCAATACTTGCTTGGGGTTGGGGGGTTTCCCCTCAGTAGCTCAGGACCTCTATGCCAGCTAGAAAATTGATAACTCATAAAATAAGGTGGGTTGTCTCTAAGCAGGAGTTCATTTCCTTTCTGGTTTTGCCTTTAGGAAGCAGGTGCCTGAGGGAGTTCTGTTCTTAAAAGCAGAACTATAAATTCACCTCAGCTGGTTATATAGCCTTCCAGTCCAATTTTCTTCAAATATGTCTGGTCAGAATATTGAAAGGACTATACTATTAGCCTCCACTTAGGACACTCCACATGTGGACACATAAAACATATCTGATATGGGTTTTCTAGAGACAACATCATCTCAGTCATGTACTAGGGGAAGACGTAGACAAGTTGATTTTATGGTTGGGTGCTATAGAATTAATGACCAAGGGCATTTCAGCAGCTCAGGGACTGAAGACCATAGAGGGTGGAGGTCAAGGCTGAACATTTGGCATTGCTCCCAATCCTGGAGTCCCATTTCTTGGCTCTCCACCACCCATGAGAAACCAATTCACAACTCTTAAAGAACTCAGCAGATGTATCACTCTTCATGGCCTGCCACGGGAATTAAAAAATCGAATAAAATAGGAAATAACGTATACAAGTTCACGAGGTTATCTTTTTTTGGACACTTGGAATTTGCTATCTTAAGAGGGTTCAAGCCATCGAGTTGCTTATTTGTTTCATCCTAGCTGTCATAGATATTGGGGGTGGGGTATAGGTCAGTGGTAGAGTGTGTGCTTAGCATGTAGAAGGTCGTGGGTTCAATCCCCAGTACCTCCATTTAAATAAATAAACAAACAAACCTAGCTCTCATCTATATAATTTTTTTCATTAGCATCCTTTTTTCAAAGAGATTAAAGCACTTAAATAACATATATACTGTATATTGCTGAAGCCAGCCTGTCCCAACTTGTGAAAGACAATTATTAAGCTTTCAAGAATTTTGTGAGCTGGCTCTTAAACCACTAGTAGCTTGAAATTGGTCATGGTGGGAGTATTTATACACAGATACTGGCAAATGATGGTAAATCGGGTTTATTCGAAGAGCCAGTTCACCAACACACTGGTGCTGCTTAGTTACAACCAGGAAGAAATGATCAAAAGTAGAGGAAAAAAAAAGAACTCAACCAAATCAAACCACATGACTTCTTATAGATGGCTGTGTTTCTCAAAGTGTGGCCCATGGACCACCTGTATCAGAATGAGTCACTTGGGGAACTTGTTAAAAAATGAAAATTCGTGAGTCCCACACCAGACTAGCTCTAACTTGGGAGCTCAGGAGTCTGTGTTTAATAGGTATGCCCAGTGTGATTCTTCAGCATTCTGAAGTCTGAGAACCCCTGAGTTTGAGGGATAGGATTTAGCTGGAACATTAGATTAACTATTCTCATTCTATGAAAACTGATACACAGTTTGTTTCCCAAGAGGATTGAATAACCCAGTCTGAAAACATTGCCATCCTCCTCAGTTGCCCTCTCTGAAGCATCCTGGCACACATTCTGCAAATTCAGAGGGCTCCTTACCAGTGCTCACGCACCCTAAGGGAACATGGATCACTTTCCCCACACCCCCCTCCCATGCCCACAAGACTTACAAAGGTAGTATGTTTATTAAGAAAATTTTGGAAACATAAAAAGTATAAAGATTATTAAAATCATGTATAATTCTCCCATAATTCCATCACCACTATTAAAATTTCTATGAACTTTTTATTATATATATTTTTATTTGAAGACGTAATATTCATGCTGCACATATCTTTTTACCCAGCATTATATTGTGAGTATTTCCCCATGTCATTAATGTTTTGAAAGTGTGTCATGTTGATGACTGCCTAATATTCTGTGAGATCAATATATCATAATTTATTTACTTTCTGTTGTCTTCAAACAAATAGTCTATTCCCATTTTTCACTGTTCCAAGTAATACCTTGATGAGCATCCAGGTACAAAAGTCCTTATAGATTACCTCTTAAATCATATAATTTGAAGGTTCAATTTCCTTGTAACTGTTTTGCCCAAGGGTTGATCTACACTCAACTCTACATTTTAAGGTTATATCATTCCTCTCCATTCCTCTCATATTTTTCTTATGACTCTCGTATCTCATTTTAATTTGCCTCCATATCTAATTCCCAGTATGGAGCTGTTTTGATGACTTATATGAATTTCTTACTCATAACTATAGCTATGAGAGGGTCAAAAAAGCCACAACAGGTGAATTGAGTTACTAGATTAGATTGAAGGAATACAGAGTCTAGAACAGTGGTTCTCAGTTCGGAAGGTGATGGGGGAGGAATTTTGCTTCCCAAGGAACATTTGGCTGTTTCTGAAGACATCTTTTATTGTCCAAACCTTGGAGAGGGTGTGGGGAGTGAGTTGCTACTACCATGTGCTGGGTGGAGGCCAGGGATATGGCTAAACATCATACATTACTTGGACTTGTGCATTACAAGACAGTTCCCATCCCCCAACTTATCTGAGTTATCCAGTTCAAACTGTCAGTGATGTGGAGGTTGAAAACCCCTGTTCTACTCTCTGGACTTCACAAAGAATAAAGGTGCTCTCCTGGGTATTAGAATTGCATTTTCTCATGACATCCCGTGGCTAGTGCAGAATGATATACACCAGGTCACATAACCCTAGGAGGATTATTAGCTATTTGAGAAACTGTACCCAAAAATTGCTAGTGAATATTCCATCACTATAAGCTTGCAAGAAAAAGTTTGTCTCAAAAATGTGTTGTTAGCACTGCCCTGCTGAGCACTGGCATCAGTGGTGATGCCTGTTGATCAGGTTTCGAATTCCAAGAAGCTGCAGGGGTTGACAATGTGTCCAGTGACAGAATCATCTGGAAGAATAGACTGAATCAAACATAAATAAACTTAATAGGAATAAATGTAAAGTCTTGCTTTTAGGCCCCAAAATAAACTGCACGAACACAGGATGTGGAAGGTTTGATTTAATACCAAATATATGAAAAATTTGCCTGATGGTTTCAGTTGAGGGTGAGCTTAGCATGAGTCAACATGAGGATATGCCTGCCAGAAACATAAGCCAGTCCTAGGCTACTTTACTGGAAGTTCATGTATGAAAATGAAGGAAGAAACAATCATTTCTATTGTACGCTGCTCAGATCACACCTGGAATGTCCTGTGCCTCTTTCACACACAGAAAATGGCAGCACTAAATCCATATTTTTTGACAAACATGGGAGGACATGGGAACATGCAGCCTGCAGGGTTAAGACTTAGTCGATTTCCCACAATTAAAAAAATTAACATAGAAAAGGAATTAGATATATTTTATAGCATCCAATCTGCATTGTCGCTCTGTCTCTGCTTATTTGTCCGTTCATTCATTTCCTTGATGATACTAACAAGGGATTATTTTAGGAGAGGTAGCCTTCAGCTTATTAGAGGGGAAACATCCTGACAAATTAGAGCGCCTTATGCAGCGGCGAGTTTCTTGACATGGGGAGTGTCTACTGAGAAGCTGGTGATTACGCTGAGAACGGATTAGTGCACCAGGACAGGACTGGACTAGAATCAGAGTTTCATAAGACTCAGTCATCAATATAGTATCTTCACTGCCTTATT